CCAGACGCACAGGAACCCTTGTGCACGAATGCGGTCGACCGGACCGGTCGACCGCCGCCTGTTTTTCCTAATTCTGCTGCTGATGCTGAAATTCCTTCAGAGAAGGGGTGTTTCCTGGAATTTAGAAAATTTTAAAATTCTGGGTGCATCAATCTCTAACAAATGATGTGATCTGACGAGGGGTAATGTCCGCCTAAGGGGCTGTTTGGTTGTTGTTGGTAAAGTTGTGTATTTATGACACAACTTGAAAAGTTGTTGTCCACCTCATCAATTTTACTCTTATATTTTTCTTTGTTTGTTTTTGATTCAATTGAAATCATAAAACACTTGTTTGGTTTGCAAAATGAAACTTTAATTGTTTGTTTGGAAAGTGTAAAAAGTGGTCCCTACTCAAATGATCATATTGGTTGGAATTCTTTTTTATTATTTTTTCCTAACTTTAATGTTAGCTTTCTCCTAAAATCATGTCTTTTTTTCATGAAATCACTTTACAAGCCACATCAGCATATAAAATCACTTTACACTATTTTCACAACTACAAACAAACAATTAAAAATAGTGAAAGCTGACATTGGGACCCACTTTTTTACACTTTACCTCATTTTACATGGTAAAAACATACAACCAAACAGCCCCGAAGTTACGTTCTCTCCTGTCCCTCTGTCTCCCTGTCTTCCTTGTGCGCGGGAAGTAGCGGGGAATCCGGGAGACTGTCACCGCGATTTCCACGCCCCTCCTCCATTCCATTTTCCTCCTCTTGATATATCAAATATCACAAAAAAAAAAAAGGACAAATAGTTCCCCCAAAAAATCCCCATTCTAGAGGAAGGGGACAAAAAGGACTGCAAAAATTCTACCAGAGATTAAACATGCCCACCGTCGTCAAACCCCCATTTGGTTGGTGAACCCACAGCCCAAAAAAAGAAGGGGAAATTAAAAAAAAAAAAAAAAAAAAAGCAAAAAAAAAGGGAAAATAAAAAAAAAAAAAAAAAAAAAGGCAAAAGGGGGATTTTTTTATTTTTAATTTCCCCCTGCAAACTTCATCATCATCATCCCAATCTCTCATTCTCTCTCTCTCTCTCTCTCTCTCAACCCCCTCTCTCTCCGGCGGTGCTCGCAGGTCCCTCTTAATGCCAATCAAATAAAGAGAGAGGGGGCAAATTCAAAATTTTCCCTTCAAAATGCAGAACACTTTCCTAACCACAATCCGCAGCCTCAAGCTAATCGATGGGTGCAAAGGCACCCAAGTCTACGCCGTCAAACGCCCTCCTCCTGCCTTCTCCTCCGCCGCCGCCTCCACCTCACTCCCTCCTCCCCAATCTCCGACGCCGACCTTCTCCATCCGCACGAAATCAACCCAAAACCCATCATCATCATCATCATCATCATCTCATCACCATCGACATTCTTCATCCATTATTCTAGATACCCTTTTACCTTACGGGCTTCCCTCCGCCGACCAAATCGACCCACCCATCGACCCATTTCTTCGGCCCGTCGACCCGGTCGCCGCCTTCGCCGCTTCGTTTCGTTCTGTGGACAATGTGGGCCCTGAAATGGACGGTACCCACTCGTGCAATTTGTATCTTGAGCAGATGTCGCTTGTTCGGGCTCTTCTCGATGCGAAATTGACGAGGAGGTGTTTGAGATCGGCGAGGATTCACGCCCCCGATGTGCATCATAAGGTTGTGCTGTCGGCGTGGCTGAGGTTTGAGAGGAGAGCGGATGAATTGATCAGCAATGGGCCTTCTTTGTCCCCGAAATCGCCCCTTTGTCCTTGCTCGGCGACGAGCCCGGCATTGGAATGTCCTAAAGCTGCATTGCAGCCTGGGTATTCGCCGGATTCTCCATTTGACCCGTGCCCGTGTAGAATTCCGAGAGAAGCTTCCTTTTCTGCGCCTGCGAGCTTGAAGAAGAAGAAGATTGATGATGACGATGAAGGGGATTTGTGGTTTTGTATTGGGGATGAAGAGGTGGGTTGTGTTAGGCATAGCATTGCTGCTCTTTCTCAACCACTGCGAACTTTGTTGTATGGAGATTTCGTAGAATCGAGGAGAGAGAGGATCAATTTCACGCAGAATAATATCTCGGTAAAGGGAATGAGAGCTGTCGATGTTTTTAGCAGAACTGGGTCGCTCTCAGATTTCACACCGGAGACCGTTCTGGAGCTTCTTGGGTTCGCAAATACATTTTGTTGCGAGGATTTGAAGGCGAAATGTGATGCGAAGCTTGCTGGTTTGGTTTGGAGTGTAGATGATGCTTTGCTTCTTATTGAGCATGGGCTTTATGAGACTGCACATCTTTTAGTTGCTGCTTGCTTACAAGCATTCCTTAGAGAGCTACCGAAGTCTCTGAATGATCCAGAGATTGCGAAAGTTCTTTGTACACCAGAGGGGAAATCGAGCTTAGAGGCATGTGGGCATGCCTCGTTTGCTCTGTACAATTTCTTAAGCCAAGTAGCAATGGAGGAGGACATGAAATCGAATATGACTGTAATGTTGTTAGAGAGATTGGAGGAGTGTGCGATGCCTGGGTGGCAAAGGCAATTGGCATTGCATCAATTAGGTTGTGTGATGCTTGAGAGAGGTGAATACAAAGATGCCCAAAAGTTTTTTGAGCAAGCAGTAGCTTGTGGGCATGTTTATTCTGTTATAGGGATTGCTAGGGCTAAGTTTAAGAAAGGACATAAGTATTCTGCCTATAAAATCACTAATAGGCTCATCCATGATCATGGTCCAGCTGGTTGGATGTATCAAGAACGATCCTTATATTGTTCTGGTAAGGAAAAAATGATGGATTTAAGCACCGCCACTGAATTGGATGCAACATTGCCGTATCCTTATAAGTACAAAGCGGTTGCATTGGCTGAGGAGGCTCAAATAGGTTCAGCTATTACCGAGATAAACAAAATCCTTGCTTTCAAGGTCTCAACAGATTGTTTGGAGCTTAGAGCTTGGTTCTCTTTGGTTCTTCAAAACTATGAGTCGGCATTGCAAGATATAAGGGCAATCATGACTTTGGATCCTGGATACATGATTTTTCATGGAAAGATTCCTGGTGATCAGATGATTGAGATACTTAAGCAATACGTGCAAGAGTGGGATATGGCAGATTGCTGGATGCAGCTTTATGATCGGTGGTCAGCGGTGGATGACATAGGATCACTTGCTGTTGTGCATCAGATGTTGGCTAAAGAGCCTGGGAATAGTAGTTTGAGATTTCGTCAATCTCTTCTTCTGTTAAGGTAAGGTTTTATGCAAAATACAGAACCTTGTTGGTAAAATTCTGTAATTCCTATTTATATTTTTTCCTTTAGAGATTGATACTAACTATCAACTAGGACTACAAGTAGGTGCAATCAAGAGGCAGCTGCTTTCTTGTAGATGATGTATATTGAAATTGGTCATTTAGATCATAAAATCTCTGTAATTTTAGTATTATATGTACTTTTTCTGTATTAGTGTTCAAGGGTTTGCAGTCCTAAATATGGACGATGACTGCAACTTTTAGTCAATATCATTAGACTTTAAGACCATAAATGAACTAGGATTTGGTTAATTAGATTACATATTTTGCATAAATTGTTAGGATTTTTATTTTACATTGTGGATATATGCTGGCTATATGCTGAAATTAGTGCATGTTTAATTAGGAGTGTGTTTGCAACTATGCTTAAATGTAGGTAACACAGACACTTTATTTTGGGTGTCATGTCCATGTCCGACACATGTCCGACACCGACTCTCCACGGACACTCCATGGACACTTGTTGTTCAAAGAAAAACCTGATTTCCCCCATTACTTCTACCCTAAACGAGTTTCTCTAGTACTATCAGTTTCAAAATCAATTGTTTTTTAATCGAAAACTAAAACCCATTACTTAAATAGTTGAAAAACACCCATCGTAATCCCATGCGGTCAAAACTAAACTTTTTGTTGTTAAATCTTATTCTTGGTTTGATTTAAGTTGATTCCTAATTGTCATAGATAAATAGAAAGAAACATACAAATGTTATTGGTATTTTCGTTCAATATTTGATCATGTGTGTCTGTATTATATGCCGTGTCCCCATATCCTACATTTACTAATTTGCCGATTCCCGTGTCCGTATCCATGTTCGTCTCCGTGTACGTGCTACCTAGGCTTATATCTATTTCATATGTATGCATGTATATCGGATATATGCTGATTCAGTTTCCTTTTAGTTCTAGCTCTCATTATGTTCAACCTATACGCTATCTAATGCCTGATAAATTTGAAATTTAGATTAAACTGCCAAAAGGCTGCAATGCACAGTCTCCGATTGGCTCATAACCATTCACAACATGAATATGAAAGGCTTGTTTATGAGGGCTGGATTTTGTATGACACTGGTCATAGGAAAGAAGCATTAACCAAGGCAGAGGAATCCATTGCTATTCAAAGGTCTTTCGAAGCATTTTTCCTTAAAGCTTATGCTCTAGCTGATGCAAATCTAGATCAGTCATCTTCATCTTATGTCATCCAACTCCTGGAGCAAGCTAATAGCTGTGCTTCAGACAATCTTCGAAAAGGACAAGTGAGTGTCCTGAGATATAGCTTTCAGAAAAATCATTATAATTCGGGTTAATTTCACAACCTCCCCTGCCCTCTCTGAAATTTGCGGTTTTGCACATAATTCCGCTTAACTCTTTTTATGGACCTTCTATGTGGCAAATAACTAAAGTGTCCTTCAGAGAAAGGAAAAAAACCCACAATTGCAAGGAGGTATATGTTGTTTGTAAATGACAAATGGCTAAATTGGGGTTTGGGTTTTTTTCCTCTTAAGGACATTTTAGTCATTTTCAATTACAGGTAGGGGTTCCATTGAGAAAAGTTTAACTTCAGGGGGGTTTTTAGATAAACAACTAAATTTAGGGGAGTTATCTGCAAAACCCCCTAAAGCTCAGGGGGTTTCGTGAAAGTAACCCTTATATTTCCTAGCCTTACTATTACTTACATGCAAAAATGATGCTCCTCAGGCACATAATAACATGGGCAGTGTATATGTGGACTGTGAAATGCTCGACGAGGCAGCAGAATGCTACACTAAAGCACTTGGTATTAAGCACACACGTGCTCATCAAGGTTTAGCACGGGTCTATTATCTTAAGAATGAAAAGAAAGCTGCTTATGATGAGATGACAAAGCTGATTGAGAAAGCTAAGAACAATGCCTCAGCTTATGAAAAACGTTCAGAATATTGTGAACGTGACATGGCCAAGAGTGACCTTAACGTGGCAACTAAGTTAGATCCATTGAGGACTTATCCTTATAGATACAGAGCAGCAGGTGAGCTTATTGCTTGTTCAGTTGTTGTATTTCTTTAAATTGTAATACATAAGATACAGTGCATTATATTTTTTGGGTAAATTGCGCATAGCCCCCCTCCCCCACCCCCCCTGTGTTATCGCATTTGGGAACTTATTATCTGTCAGTTTGATTTTGGTAGATAGACCTCTTGGGTGAAATTTTGACATATATTACTCCAGGGTGAAATTAATGAGTCTATCCAAGTGTAGAAAAGTTCAAAAAAAGAATCACTATGGAGTTGATTTGCCAAAATCAAACTACAGGGGTAACAATTTCCCAACTGTGAAACTACAGGGGTCTATGCGCAATTAACCCTATTTTTTTTATCATGTTATGATCACTAAGCGTCTTGAAATCACAAAGGAATCGGGTATGCTGGTCTTTTTGGTCTATACTATACAATGCTTCTCAAAGTATAAGATCAGACATATTTGGTATGACAATAGAGCTTGTCATGTCTGTTGTCTACTGACAGTTTCTTTTTACTTCCATATCATGTTTTTGGATAAGTTGAAACTTCGAATAACCTATCATAAGTTATATAAACTTACATGCCTGAGCTCTTCAAATGTGAAAAGAAAAGGTAAATAATTGCGGCTAGTGAGTAAAACCCCTGTGCTATTGTTGTTTTGAACTTGCTATCTCTCTGGTTTTATCGTTGCAGATAGACAAAGTGAGTAATCATTTTTACTCTTTTACCCTCAGGAGGTCTACTATTTGTCAACCAAAAAAAAGAACTCTTTCTCTGAGGGTAAAAGAGTCAAATAAATTCATTCAGGGGGCTATCAGCAACAAAATTAGGGGGGTAGTAACTGCAAGACGAGATAGCACAGGGACTGTATTCGCAATTAACCCAAAAGGTTACGTTCCATGAGGCTAATCTGGTCTGCATAAACTAACAATTCCCAAATATTTGTTTATGCTCCAGTTCTAATGGACGAGGGCAAGGAGGAAGAAGCCATCACCGAGCTCTCAAGGGCAATATCTTTCAAGCCAGATCTCAATCTACTCCATCTTCGTGCAGCTTTCTATGATTCAATGGGGAAAGCAGAAGCCACCCTAAGAGATTGTGAAGCAGCGCTCTGTCTTGATCCAAACCATGCTGATACTTTGGAACTCTACAACAGAGCTAAGAGTCGAGTTACTGAACAACAAAGTACATAAAGCACTGAGAATTTGGTTTAGATACACACAAATTTAGCAACTGACAATAATGATTATGGAAACAAAACAGAGATAGACAAAGGCACATGTATATAGAAGTGAACACTGTTACAGGATTTGGAGGGAGAGATGCTGCGAAGATTTGTATACATGAGATTTCAGCACGGTTAACTCCTGCAGCTGTAAAAACTGAATAGCGCTCTCTGAGGTCTACATGTTTGACTGTTTTTTGTGAAATGTAGATGCAATACAAAGTTTTTTTCATGGTGAATTGATGAGGCAGTGGCGGCCATTTTCCTCGTTTTGTTCTCTGTTTGTGTTGTGGAAAATGTAAAATGGTTCGGAAGAGTTTGTGGTTATTCGAAATAGAAAGTACCATGTAGACATCTGTTTGAGTATCTGTCTAATTTTTCAGACATGTGATTATCATAAGATGTTCTCTTTGAGACGCTTTACTATGTATGACCGAGATTGAATGCAAGGCCATTTTGCTGCAGAGAGTAAATATCTTGATCATCACATCTTCTTTTATTCGCTATTGATGGCTAAAGCAAAATATGATTAAAGGATGGCAGATACCCTGCAAAAATTTTGGGAAGCTCTTCATGAATTGCTTTTGGCTCTCATTTTCACCTTTACAACTAACATCACAAAATGATTCCATTGTACGCTGATGAGTAGTTTTTTCATTTTTTGGATAGGAGAGGAGGTTGGGAGTTGGGGAACGTTGTGGTTGGTTGTAACAATACTGAACGATGGTTGGGGTAGAAAAAAGGACTAAAAAGGAGGAAAACATGTGAGGAGGACCCACAACATTTTGGCTGTTAATGACAAAATTTATCCTTTTAAATACTGTTAGCATTAAACAAAAGATCAGCTGATTGTTGGAAAGTAGAAAAACTTGAAAGATGAAACACTTCCACGGTCATCAGCAAGAGCTCAGCATCAGAATATATCATAACGGACAAACTCTCACCAAGTTACAACCTTAAGAATATGAATGTTCAATGAGCATTCCCCATAAATATATCCCAAATGCAAGTTCTTATCAACTAAACTAAAATAATCCCGTTCTCTTTTATCGTGTCAAGGACTATCCCAAGCTTACCTTCAATCCTCTCGTTCTTCTTAGGCTCAAACGACATTGCATAGATATCAGCCTCTTTCGATCTTTCAGCAATCAACTGTCCAACTGTTCTACAAGCATCATCATCAATGAGAGAAGGCAAAGTATTCCTCAAATCTCTTGCATTGGTGCTAGCAACTGATACCACTTTGCTAGTTCCCCTGTGCACTACTTTTGCATGAATAAATCTCTTGGAGAAGAAAACATTTAGCAAGAAGGGCCTCATGTACATGTCTGTTCTTTGTTTCCATGATTTTTTGTTTGGTCTTTTTGCTGCTTCACCTCTGGATCTTCGAGTCCAAGCTGCATGAACCACGCCAACCTATGATTCAAAAGAATATATATACATAAATTAATGCAACCCAGCGATACAAGGTGCTTGTAGAGGGTTCTAGGTACCGAAGTCTGAACTTGAACCAAATTCCATATAAACCTATGTAGTTTTCACTAAAATTTTATGCGGACTATAACTTCTAAATTAAACAACAATGAAATACCTAAATATTCTAAAGGACGAAATGATTTAACTCCCCCTTTAGGTATTGTTGAAACCACTCCTATGCCCTGAAGTATCAACTTACCTATTATCCCACTTATTCTATGTGTATGGGCCTAGTATGACCACTCTGTGAGACCACAAATCAAATACTTGACACATCGGTGACATGATGGTGTTGTTTTACATTTCTTCCATCTTATGCAGTTTCAGAAAATCTCCCAGCAACTTTTCCCATACAACTTTTAACCCTTTATCCATTTTTTGGAACTGATGGACTTACTTCTCATCCTTAATCCCTTTTTTGGAATTGAACAACATTTCTGGAATTACAGAAAATGGAAGAAATGCAGAAAAAACGTTGTAACGTCACCAATCTAAGTGGCCTCATAGAATGACCATATTGGCCCCATAAACATGGTACAAGTAGGATGATAGGTAAATTGATACTTTTGGCAAGATGGTAAAAGTTCGACAGTACTTGGATGGGGGTGGGGGAGGGGGTTAGTCATTTCATCCTTTTCTAAATTACTATCAGTTAAATCAAGAAGAATATCAAGATGACAGTTATTTTTGGCAGTAGAAAAGACCGCATCACCAATGGACTATCAGATGGTGAGTCCTTCGCAGTTCTATATACCAGGATGAAGTTACTTACTTGCCTGTTGAGTGTATACTGCCATAAATGGAACATTATCGGATAGGGAAAATGCAGTCTGTCAACGTTCATAGAATAAACTGTTGGATATAATTTTTTTTAAAATAAATTTATGTGGGCCCCATGACCATAACCTTAGCCTAACATCATTTAAGAAATGAAACCTCACATGGGCGGCTAAAATGCAGGTGACAATTTTTTTCAAAAGGCGTGAGGCCCACCGAAGAAAAATTAGGACGTGGGCCCCACATGCATAGTAAAATATATTATTTTATTAGTGCATAGTGTTTTCCCAAACACTATACATAAACCTCAAATCCTTAAGAAAATTTCATTCCAAAATCAACAATCAATATATACAGATATAAAACAGCAAAAACCGAACAGAAAATTAAAGGGCAGTAATTTAAAATTTTCCAACTCAGCTGCTGTGCGTTTGTAAAACGTTGTGTTTAAAACATTATTTGGCCTACTCCGGTGCAAGGATTCCAAGGTCAAATTGCTTTCAGGAACAGCGGTCCAGTACTCTGGTGTACACCGACCCAGTACTGTTAAGATCTCCTCGATCTATAAGGCTAATATCTCCTCGATCTATCAGGCAAAAGATCTCCTTGATCTATCAGGCAAAAGATCTCCTTGATCTATCAGGCAAAAGATCTCCTCGATCTATCAGGCAAAATTCCTATAAGCACCAGCTATTTTACAATCTATATCTGTATATATTGATTGTTGTTTTTGGAATAAAATTTTCTTAAGGATTTGAGGTCTATTTATAGTGTTTGGGAAAACACTATGTACTAATAAAATAATATATTTTACTATGCATATGGGGCTCACGTCCTAATTTTTCTTCGGTGGGCTCACGTCTTTTGAAAAAAATTATCACCTGCATTTTAGCCGCCCATGTGAGGTTTCATTTTTTAAATGATATTAGGCTAAGGTCATGGTCATGAGGCCCACATAAATTTATTTTTAAAAAAATTATATCCAACAATCCCCCACAAGTTTTTTAAACTAGGGTCATGTAACGGTGCCGTTGTTTGAATCGTTGTGCGTAAGGAAGATGTCGTAAGGACTTGAATCCCCTTTAGACCAACTGAATAAAAGATAGGTGCATAGTGTCGCAGAGACTTGAACCAGCACATATCTAAAAATCCAGCGATCACACAAGATCAAACTTATCTGTGGTAGTTTTTACTTTGAACCACATTTGTCTTTGTCTTTGCCTTTGCATTTGCCTTGCCTTTGTCTTTGCACATTTATGGCCGTGTGCATGTCCTAGTTTCTGCTAGGGTTTTAGGTATCTTTCCACAAGACACCATAAGAGACGACCAAATCTTCACCCATACATAAGTGAGTTTTTTAGGCATGTTTCCTATCAAACATCCCGCATCCGAAATGTTTTGAACTCATTAAGGCTTAAGAGTCATCCTCTCTTATGATAGGATTCTAGGTGAGTCATTTAGGTGTGTTTCCTATCTAACACCCCACATCCGAAATGCTTTGGACTCATTAAGACTTAACAGCCATCCCCTTTACATGATAGAATTCTAGGTGAAAAGATCAAAATTTTACTTGGGTAGTTCAGCCAGGTAAGGATAGTATTAGAGGTTGATCAAAGATCAATTAAGTACCTCGTTCCTTACGGAACGCGTTACGCAACCCCTAAACATTGCCTTAGACACCCACTAATCCAAGAAAACTTGAACCATTTCACTTGTAAATCTTACTTGACTTTTGAACCATTTATCTTGTCATTAGTAGCATAAGCTTTGAACTAATAACTAGATGTAAATGGTAAATATTTGTAAGACTCACCAAACTTTACAAATCTTACTTGACTTTTGAACCAATTATCTTATTATTAGTAGCATAAGCTTTGAACTAATAATTTAATAAACATGGTAAATATTTGTAAAACTTACAAAAATTTGAGACCCAATCCAGCAGACGTCCTTTCGACTATGTCTTTTTTCAGACCCTTAGTCAAAAGATCAGTCACATTCTCTGAAGATCGGACGTCAATCACAGAGATGACTCCTTGACAAATGAGCTCTCTCAAATAACCATGCTTCAGACGAATGGTCCGCTTCTTTCCATTGAACATCGAGTTTGCTGCCACAGCACTCGCCGCTTGATTATCACAATAGATAGTAATTGCACCTTGCAATTTCGTCAATGGAAGGTCTCGGAGAATACAACTGAGCCACTCAGCTTCATCTTCTGTAACACAAGAGTGCGAAGAATTCAGATTCCATCGATGACTGTGCAATCATGGTCTGCTTCTTAGACTTTCACGAGACGACAGCTCCACCCATGGTGAAGACAAAACCTCCAGTAGATCTGCACTCATCTGGTTTTGAGCACCAGCTCGCATCTGAATAACATTCGATTACACCCGGATATCCAGTGTAGAATAAACCCAGACCTGTAGTTCCTTTTAAGTATCTTATCAATCTCTGGACAGCATCCCAATGAAGCTTTCCAGGATTACTTGTGAACATACTAAGCATTCCTACAGCGAATGCTATATCTAGCCTTGTGCAGCTCATCGCGTACATAGGACTCCCAATGATCTTTGAGTACCTTAGCTGATCTACTGGTTTTCTAGTGTTTGGTCGAAGCTTCTTGTTGTAATCATACGGCACTGACAGTTCTGACAGGTCATAGAACCATACTTTCTTAGCATGCTCTCGACATAGTGAGATTGAGATAATCCAATACTCTCTTCAGAGTATATGATTTTGATTCCGAGAATCACGTCCGCAGTTCCAAGGTCCTTCATGCTGAACTGTGTTGAAAGAAATTTCTTGATAGATATTACTATCTCCAAATCACTCCCGATGATAAGCATATCATCCACATAGAGGCAGATGATCACCATCTTTCCTTCAGCGACCTTGATGTATAGGTACTTGTCAGATTCACTGACTTGATACCCATTGTTGCGAACAATGTCATCGAACTTCTCATGCCAGAGTTTTGGTACCTGCTTAAGTCCATATAATGACTTAACAAGTTTACAAACCTTACCAGCCAGAGAATCAAGTCCTTCTGGTTTCTCCATGTCGATCTCTTCTGTGAGATCTCCATTGAGAAAGACAATCTTCACATCCATCTGATGTATGACGAACCTTTTAATCACCGCCCATGCGATAAGCACTCTGATGGTAGTGATCCTGCAAACTGGTGCATAAATATCAAAGAAGTCTATACCTTCTTTCTGAGAGAATTCTTTCGTCACCAGTTTTGCTTTGTACTTTTCAATAGTACCATCAGGACGGAACTTCTTCTTGAAGATCCACTTGCAACTGATAAGCCTTTCACCTTCAGGTACATCTACCAGCTCCCAAGTGTGATTTTGGATCAATAAATCCATCTCATCATCTATAGCTTCTTTCCACATAAGAACGTCTGTTGACTGCATTGCTTCTTAAAAAGTCTGTGGATCTCCTTCCACATTATACGTGATGAAGTCATCTCTAAAATCTTTCTGTCTTCTGACACGTTTGGAAGATGGTTCGATAACTCTTTCATCATTGACTGGCTCCTCTTGTGCATTTGATGTATTAGCATTCTCTGCTATATCTTTGAGCAATAAGCCTTTATGTTTGATAAACTTATCCTCAAAGAATTCTGTATCCCGAGCTTCAATGATGGAGTTGGTTCCAAGGTCTAGGAACCTGCACGCATTGCTATCTCCAGCAAAACCAAGAAACACACATCTGTTTGCCTTTGGTCCGAGCTTAGACCTTCTGATATCTGGAATTCGAACATATGCAAGACACCCCCACACTTTGAGGCTATCCAAAGAATCTGGATATCCTAACCATAACTGATGAGGAGTACTATCAGTTTTGGAATAGGGTACTCTGTTCAGAATCCAATTTATCATTAGCAAAGTCTCTCCCCAATAGCAGGTAGGTAGACCAGATATGATTAGCATCGAATTCACCATCTCGATCAATGTGCGATTCTTTCTTTCTGCAATCCCATTAGATTGCGGAGAATATGGAGCAGTAGTTTCTGCAATGATTCCATGCTCCTTGAAGTATGCTTCTGATTCCTTAGATCGGTACTCTCCTCATCTGTCGCTCCTGAGTCTTTTCACCTGAAGTCTAAGTTGCTTCTCCACTCGAGTCCGAAACTCGACAAATTTGCTGAAGGCTTCATCTTTAGATTTCAGCAGTTAAACGTGGCAGAAGGGAGAATGATCGTCGATGAAGGTGATGAAGTACTTCTTGCCTCCACGAGTGACGAAGCTTTTGAAATCACAAGTATCTGAATGAATCAGATCCAACAGTTTGGTACTCCTCGTGACACTTGAAAATGTCTTCCTCGTCAGTTTTGCTTGCGCGCAAACTTCACACTTCTCAGGTTTGTTACCCCCACATTTTGAAAGTAATCCTAACTTCTTCATGCTGGATAATTTTCTATAATTTACATGTCCCAACCTATTGTGCCATAACACAGAGGAGTAAGCAGAAGAGGATACTTCATTTACAATGGGGTTGGATGCACTCGTACTGATTCATAACACAGAGGAGTAAGCAGAAGAGGATACTTCATTTACAATGGGGTTGGATGCACTCGTACTGATTTTATACATGCCATCAGTACGATATGCATTTCACTTCATTTACAATGGGGTTGGATGCACTCGTACTGATTTTATACATGCCATCAGTACGATATGCATTTTCAAAATACATTTTCTTGAAGGATAATACAGCCTTTCTTCTTTGAAAATCCAGTCTCATGCCTGCATCACACAGCATGCTTCAAGAGACTAAGTTTTTGGCAATTGAGGGAACATATTTCACATCCTTCAATGTGAGAGTCTTTCCTGAAAAAAGATTCAACACCACAGTCCCAGTTCCAAGAACAAGAATCATAGAACGATCAGCCAGTAGAAGGGCTGAAATAAATGCATACCTCGAGAATTGAGTCTGCCTATCACTTCCTCTTCGCGTGAATATGGATATAAGTATCAGATACAATATACAGATACAATATGTAAAATTTCTCTATACGCTTTCGTTGTTTCAGTTATTGCTCTTTCTCATTCATACCAAATCCACCACCAACCTCTTAGCTGACTAAAGTTCACCAAAGTCGCCTTTTTCCTCTGCCACCACTAGCACCACTATCCTCAGTTGTTGCCATAGTCTGATGTCGGAATTAAAGAATGACATTGGAGGAGAGGGAGCGAAGCAAGAGAGGAGGGGTTCTCTCACTGTCAAACGGAATCCATCTTTAGGTACATAAGTTATAACCAAACATGATATGGTTTTTATGCCCAAATAGTTCAAACAATTTATCTAGGTTTGTGTGTGCGCACGTGCGTGTGTTATTTTAGCAAAAACAGACTCAATAAGTACCCATATGCCTTCCTACTGCCCACCCGTATCAGGTTCATTTGAGTACACACTGGATTCTTATGGTACATACAAAACCAAAAGCAAATCTTGTACAAACCCAGACACCAAATTGGAGATATATCAAATCTGGATGAAGGTCCAGTTTGGCGAATCCATATATTAGACGACAAGGATGTAAGCCAAATTGAAAATTGATGTTGGCCAAAAGAAATTACGAAGGATTCTCATGGGAAACATGCCAATGTAAAGTTTTCCTCCAAAATGAGCTTGATGAATAATTTGGGTAGATAACACAAATGAACACTTGAAAAGCTGAAATTTTGAACTCTTTGTTCATTTAATGCAATGCTTAGCTCTTGGAAAAAAGGAGAAGAATCGAAAAGAACCTTAAGTTAGCTAGCTACCCATAGTTGAAATAATCTGAGGGTTAGAGTTGAGTCTGACATCTGGTTCTTAAATTGATTACTTTGAGGTGTAAATCACATATGATTAGCTATTTGCTATGTATAAGCATTATGTTTTAGGTTTGCATAATGCCTTGATTGTTACCTTAGTTTGAATCTGCACTGTGATTTCTCATGGTTAAAACATCATCATACTCCTATCAAACAAAATGAAGAATCTTAAGCAAGAAACTATTGTGTACACTCGTTTTGTGAGCTAAGCTATGTAGACTGTTCTACTCTTCAGTGGGTGTAACGTGGAAAATTTATCTCAGTGGGTGTAACGTGGAAATTTTAGGATAAAGTCATATTGTTTCTCATACATATGTTTTAGTAGAGGCATTATTGTAGAGAGTACAGAAGACAATTTCCAATGCCTACGTCTAAAAGGGCATACTGCAAATGGCTTCTGAGGAAAAATTATATACCAATAAGCCCTTCAAAACTAAAATTAATATATTCCAAATGAACACTCAACTCTCTGCGATTTAAAGAAGAGAAGCTAATTTCTGTATTCCCCACTTTTTAATAGATCGCTCGTCACCGTAAATAGCAAAGAAGCATGAAGCATCCTTTATGATTCAATCTAAAAGGACACCACAATCGCATGTAATGCATTCCGTAAAAATACTCAAAATTTGCTCCCTCATCACCAATTTTAGCTAAATAGTGCCGAGAAACCCTTTTTGATCTTCAAAGACCCTGCATAACCTCTAATTTTTCTCCTAAGCATCAATAAAATTTCCGAAAACTTCTCTAGTTCCTCCAACTCAAGAACTTCTGAAAAAAAATGTTAGATCTTTAAGTAAGTAGACAACCAGCAGTGGAAATTCTCATCCTGTCTTAACATTCAGTACAAAATCTAAAGTGGTTATATCCAAAACCCCTCAAACTTCATTCCTCCTAAAAAAAAATCCAATATTTGCGCACAAAATTGAGAAAAATTAAACTAACCTGGCGATTGGGTAGTGAAGTTGAGGAAGAGGTATTGAGGAGATCCTTTGAGGAGAGCTTTATAATTGGAATCGAAGAAGACCAAGAGAGAGAAGAAGGTGATTTTGATGAGGATGCCTTTGAGAACGATGAGGAGAGAGGATAATAGCAGCAGCTAATGGACGAAGAAGAGCACGAGGCCGCCATTGGAGAGGGCTTGAGATTCCGCTGGGATTCTTTACGAGTACTGAAGATAGACGAGATGAAGAAAAAGCCATTATTTCCTCTATTTTTGCATATATATATACCCCCCAAATCGTTCATATTAGCAAATCTACCCCTCAGTCTTGATATTTCCAACATTATTCTCCAATTCTCTCACATTAATTTTTTCTACCCCTCCCATTCGATAGTTTAAATTTTTTTTTATGGAATATCAATTTTATAGTTTAAAAATAGGAAATTATTACAAACCTATTGAAAATAATTGGAATGTTTGACATTGCATTGTTTAAAAACCAACATTAAAAAGTTATATGGTAAGAATAATAGCATAGAGAGATATATGTAAAAGTGTCCGTAGGGCTGTCCATCCGGGCCGGGCCGGGTCGTTGAAATGAAATGACATAAATTACAAGTACAAAAAATGATAAAAATAACTTCTTTATTAATAATCGGTAAATCCTTTACAAGTATAAATTTATTTCGAAATTCGTCGCATCACAATAGATGAGTACATCCCAACTAGGTTGGCACCTACTCACCCATATCACTATCATTTGCAACTTTTTTCGAAATAATTTAATTCAAATTTAAAGCTAAGAAATAAAAATTACAATTTTATGAATATTATCTAATCATTATATCTATCTGCTAGTCCCAACTCTTCAAATTTATCTTCAATCATAGCAATCCGTTCGATGCCTTGTGTTCGCTTCTCGTATCTCCACCAATCCTGTAAGCACATCACCGCTTGTACAGTATACGGATCTAAGCATGTCCTGTGGTCGTCGATCAAACGTCCTGCTGTGCTGAAAGCGGATTCCGAGGCTACAGTCGAAACCTGCACTGATAGTAAGTCACGAACCATGGTGGAAAGTATAGGATATGAAACTGATCCATATACTTTCCACCATTGCAAAATATCTAAAGCATTTCCTTGACATTTAACTAAGGAAGCAGATAAATATTCGTCTATTTCAGAAACCTCTAATCCTGATGAAGTTCCAGATCCACCAGTTAGTTCAGCTACCATTGCATACCTATCAAAACTTACACTTTTACCTCGACCTGTGCTCGAAGCTGAAGGTGCCGAAGCTGAAGACTGTTGTGTAGCTACACCATATCTAGCTGCATACTCATCATATAAGGTTTGAAAATAATTTCTAATAGCTACATAATGAGTAGTAGCAGTAAGGGTGGATCCATCATCTAAGTCTATAATCTGTCCACCATACAATGATTGTAACAAACTTCGAAGGCCAATTTCCTTCAAGCATGGATCAATAAGAACACCAATACCAAAAATATGAGGAATAGGCCTAAAATACTTATTAAATTTACTCTCCATTTGAAAAATTATATTTCCAAAAGTATCATCCATACGATATTTTGCAAAAAATTTTTGAATATTTAAAATTTGTAAAGCAGCTAAAGTAATAGTTGGATAATAACAACCAGATAATAACATAGTAGCATCATAAAAAACTTGTAACATCTCATTTAATTTACATATAACTGTCCATTCATCTTCAGTTATTCCATAAGCACTACCAGAGCTAGAACTAGAAGCATAAAAATTTATAAAATCATTTATAATTTCTTTATATTCTATTGCTACAGATAACATTGCATATGTGGAAGTCCACCTATGGTCAACATCTTTTGGAATTAGTCTAGGCTTATAAATTTTTTTTTTACAACATTGTTTCCATCTTTTAATTCTCATTTCAGAAGCATTATGCATATTAGTAACTGTTCTAACTTTTTCTATCATGGGTTTAATTTCAGAAAATGCACTTTGAACAATTAAATTTAAAATATGACAGATACATCTAACATGAAAAAGCTCACCATGACATGGCAATGACAAAGTTATTTTCAGAAAATCAACAGCTACATTATTATTACTTGCATTATCTAGTGAAAGAGTAAATATTCTTTGATCAATTTCTAGTTTCATAAGTTCTTCAACAATTAAATTTGCAACATTAATACCAGTGTGTGACTCTTCAATTGCAATAAAAGAAACAACTCTTTTAAACATTTTCCAACTTTCATCAATCCAGTGTGCTGTTATACATAAATAACCAGTTTGCACTCTAGATGACCAAATATCAGAAGTTAAAGAAAATTTGCAGTTTAAATTTTTAAAATAAGAAATTATTTTTCCCTGTTCCTCAACATAATATTTTAAAATATCACGTTGACAGGTTTGACGAGAAAATTTTGTAAATGCAGGATAAAAACCATCTCTAAACAAATCTTCAAATTCATCATCTTCTACTAATTTAAAAGGAAGGTTTTTAAGAACAATAAACCTGATTACGCATTTCCGGGCTCGGGCAGCGTCATAATTCCAACTGCCGAGGGTACCTGAAGAGGATGATTGGGAAAGCATAGACTGCCGGATATCACCTTGTAGATTTTGGCCTTTGTTGTGTTTTTCAATATGCCGTTTGAGATGGTTGGTGCCGCTCTTATGATGAGCTTTGAATATCTGGCCGCACAACGCACATTTCGCATTCTGAGAGATGATCCTACCGTGTTCATCCTTGGTGACGTCTATCTTCTCAAAAAAATTCCATACATCAGACCTCGGCCTTTTTGGAGCTCTTGGTGCCGTAGATTCGTCGCCACCAGATTCAGGATTAACACCGGTAGGATGAGGAGTTGTTGTAGGAGGACTCATCTCTGGATCGGTAGGAGTTGCATGTTGCTCTTCATAATCAGACCCAGAAGCCATTTGTTGGAAGTATTAGAAAATACAAAAGATTATAGGATAGTATATTAGTATGAGATAGTATAAGATTGTATAAGAGAGTAGTAGAGAGAGAAATAGATGAGTTTTGTTGTGAGAAAATGAATTGAAACCCCCCCTCTATTTATAGAAGCAGCCCCCTAGGTAAATGACCAAAAAACCCTCGAAAAATAGCCGTTTTTTGACCGTTTTAAGGGGCAAAACGGTCAAAAGACCAAATCTGGCCGTTAGGCCAGATTTGGCCCGGGCCGGGCTGGGCAACGGTCACCTTTGTGACCGTTATGGCCGGGCCGGGCTGGCCCGGCCCGGCGGACCGGGGTCAACGGCCTCCGGCCCGCTCGGCCATCTTCGAAGCCACAGTGCCGTTTTTTCAGGCACTGTTCCGGGCCCGGGCCGGGCCCAGGCCGGACACCGGGCCGGGCCCGGGCTCCGGGCTTTTTGGACACCCCTAAGTGTCCGTTTCTATTAGTTATGATTAATGCCCTGTGAATTTTGTTTCAAATTTTTTTACGTAACACTCACGAGCTAGTTTAAGAACTTTCATTCCAGTGTTCTTTGAATTCACCATTAAACGCACTCTAAACATATTTCGAAATAAAATTATGATAGAACAATAAATTCAACAAATATTTAATATTAAAAAGTTTTAAAATTAGCTTACAAGTGTCACATGGAAATGTCATGATCAAAGTTTTTTCCATTTGTGTATCATATAATTTATTAATACGCAACTCTTAGGCCTCGTTTGGTACGCGGGAATGAGGTGGAATGGAATGATCATTCTCACTTTTCATTCCTTCCTACCAAACACACACTCTTTTTTGAAGTTGGAGTGCTCATTTCCACTTCTCATCAATTCCCACTTTATGTGGGAATGAGCATTCCCAATGAAATGATAGGGAATGACGATTCTCACTTAAATGAGAATCGCTAAAATATACAATTTTAAAATACGCTCATTCCCACTTCATTTTATAAATCACACCCAAACGTGAGAATGATAATGACTATTCCATTCTCACATTAATTCCATTCAATTCCTTCTTCCATTCCATTCTTATTCGAGTTCATTTCCGCGTACCAAACGAGGCGTTAGAGACTTCAAGATATATAACTACTCATAAAAACAAGCGAGGGTATATTAATGCAGCATACGGGAAACTGTAAGGTACTTAAATGCTAATTAAGGATAAGCCCAAAATTGAGCCACAAACTAAACAACTCAGGCCAGTCTCACGTCTGAAACAGGGAGGGCCCAATAGGAAGGCCCAGCCCACGAAGCGGAACAAACAACCGTCTCGAGGCGCCTTTCAAAAATTAGGGTTTTGAGAGACGCCTCCCGCTTCTCGCCGACCCGTTCGAAATCAAAAAAATCCCCCTTTACTATTTAAAAAATTCGGTCTCTAACCCTCTCATCCTCTCTTATCTCAAATCGAGAGCAAGCGTCTCCGTTGGAAACCCTAGAAGTCGCGGCCTTCTTCGATTCGCCGACAACCCTCGTCCCTATTTAGATCAAACCCTAAAGGTAAACGACTTCGAATCCCAGCCTAGGGTTTGTTTTTTCTTCATCGGCTTTCCATTCTGCAGTAAGTTATAACTGGGTTCTAGGGTTTTAGGGTTTCGTACGCTACTGATGCAGTCTTTACTGTTTTAGGGGGTTAACTTTCATTTTCTGCAGTTATTCAACTTTGAATTGTTAAAAATCAATGATTTAGTGGTGAAAACAAGCAACTATATCGACAAAGGCGATCCTTTTTCGAGTTGACGTCGAAATGATTTGTTTTTCCCCTTATTTTATCTTTATTGTGAATCATAGAGTGTTTATGGAGTAGGCTATTTTCTCATCCATGAATTCCAGTGGTAAATTTAATTAATAAATGCTAATTTTTTCTCCTGAATTTAGTTGCAAGATATTGTTTTTACTCATTATCTTTTACAAAGTTGGGGTAAAAGCTTTCATGTCTTTGTTGTTTGCTACTTCGTAGTTTGATTGTGATATGTAATTGCATTGCATTCTTATATTATTGGGATTTGTAGCATTATTTATGATCATGTTAATACCATTAACTTGTTGATTGTGTGAAGCTTGTTGCTGATTCATAGAATTTTTATTGTAATCAAATAATTATTAACTGTAATCAGGCAAAATTGAGGTTCTATCTTATGTTGCAAATTTTCTTTCTTTTATTTTTCCTTAGGTATCTTATCTTTTACCTTGAAATGGAAATAGCACAATACATTTCTGATTTATTCATGTTATCTTTAGGATGAAAGGACTAATTGAATGCTATGTTTCAGCTTCAGCAAAACTAGATCAAAATGCTCTACTTGGGAATCCAAACATGTCTCTAGAAGTGTATTCCTTTGATGAAATATATTCTCTACTGATTGTAATCTTGATGTTGGTTCTCAGGCATTTTCAAATTTCTAGTTCCACCGCTATGGCAATGGAGATTACTCAACTCCTATTATCTGCCCAGTCTCCTGATGGGCAGATTCGAGCATCTGCAGAAGGCACCCTCAAGCAGTTTCAGGAGCAGAATCTTCCCCATTTCCTGTTCTCTTTGTCCGTGGAGCTATCAAATGATCAGAAACCTCCTGAATCTCGAAGGCTTGCTGGTCTCATCCTTAAAAACTCTTTGGATGCAAAGGACTCTGTTAGAAAAGAAGAGCTAGCCCAGAGGTGGGTTAGTGTTGATTCTTCAGTCAAAGCTCAAATCAAGGAATCTCTATTGCTGACCCTCGGGTCATCTATTCCTGAGGCAAGGCACACCTCATCACAAGTGGTTGCCAAAGTTGCATCCATTGAGATACCTCGACGGGAGTGGCAAAACCTTATTGAGCGATTACTAACCAACATGAATCAGCAGGGTGCACCGGAATCCCTAAAACAAGCAAGCTTGGAGACGCTGGGGTATGTTTGTGAGGAAGTTTCCTATAAGGATTTGGAGCAAGATCAAGTGAATGCCGTTCTCACTGCTGTGGCCCAGGGCATGACTCAGCCAGCTCACAGCTTTGAAGTCCGCTTGGCTGCTGTTAGATCACTATATAATGCTCTGGAGTTTGCTCAAAGTAACTTTGAAAATGAGATGGAGAGGAGTTATATCATGAAGGTTGTGTGTGAAGCTGCCGTAGCAAAAGAGGTTGAAATTAGACAAGCAGCTTTTGAGTGCCTGGTTTCCATATCTTCTATGTATTATGAGGTTCTAGAGCCTTATATGGACACTCTTTTTAATTTGACAGCAAATGCTGTGAAAGTAGATGAGGAGCCTGTTGCTCTTCAAGCTCTTGAGTTCTGGAGCTCCATTTGTGATGAAGAGATTGAAATTCAGGAAGAATATGGCGGAGCTGATGCTGGGAGCTCTGTAGCAGCACATTCATGTTTCATTGAAAAGGCTCTTCCTTTGCTTGGCCCGATGTTGTTAGAAACATTGCTGAAACAAGAGGAAGATCAGGACCAAGATGATGGAGCTTGGAACTTGTCTATGGCTGGTGGAACCTGTCTTGGACTCGTCGCAAGGACTGTTGGTGATAAAATTGTGCCCCTTGTGATGCCTTTTGTGGAGAACAACATAACAAAGCCTGAATGGAGGAATCGTGAAGCTGCAACATTTGCATTTGGATCCATTCTTGAAGGTCCTTCTATTGAAAAGCTTGCCCCGCTTGTTCATACTGGACTTGGGTTTCTTCTCAATGCTATGAAAGATCAAAACAGCCATGTCAAGGATACGACAGCCTGGACTCTAAGCAGGATATTTGAGATCTTGCATTGTTCAAACAGCTCTCATCCTGTGATAACAGCGGAGAAGCTTCCACATATCATATCGGTACTGTTGGAGAGTATTACTGATGCTCCTAATGTAGCTGAGAAAGTTTGTGGGGCCGTTTATTTTTTGGCTCAGGGGTATGAGGATGCAGAGCTAGATTCCTCAATGCTTACGCCTTACCTTACCAATATTATTGCCGCTCTGCTTTCAACAGCTGATCGTACAGATACCTATAGCCCCAGGCTTCGGACATCTGCCTACGAGACCTTGAATGAGATTGTCAGGTGCAGCAAAATACCTGAGACATCAAATATTATAGGACAGCTACTCCTTGAAGTGATGACCAGACTTGGCAAAACAGTAGATCTTCAAATTTTGTCTTCAGATGACAGAGAGAAGCAAAGTGATCTTCAGGCATCGCTGTGTGGTGTTCTTCAGGTGATAATTCAGAAGTTGAGTGGTAATGAAGAAACCAAAGCCATAATACTACAGGCTGCTGATCGCATTATGGTTTTGTTTCTCCAAGTTTTTGCCTGCCGTAGTTCCACTGTTCATGAAGAAGCAATGCTTGCAATTGGAGCCCTTGCTTATGCTACCGGTGAGGAATTTGCTAAGTACATGCCTGATTTCTGTAAGTACCTAGATATGGGTCTGCAGAACTTCGAGGAATATCAAGTCTGCTCTGTCTCAGTTGGTGTTGTTGGAGACATCTTCCGTGCTCTGGAAGACAAAGTTCTTCCTTTCTGTGATGGTATAATGACTAATCTTCTCAAAGACCTTTCCAATCCCATGCTTCATCGCTCTGTGAAACCTGCTATTTTATCTTGCTTTGGGGACATTGCTCTTGCAATTGGGGAGAATTTTGAAAAGTATCTTACATATGTAATGCCCATGCTACAAGGAGCTGCGGAGCACTGTGTTACACATGATGCTTACGATGAAGATATTGTTGAGTACAGTAATCAGCTCAGACGTGGAATCTTTGAGGCTTACTCTGGTATACTTCAGGGATTCAAAAGTTCAAAGGCTCAGCTCATGGAACCCTATGCGAACTATCTTTTGCAGTTTACAGAAGCTGTTTTCACAGATAAAAATAGGTACATGATAATATATTCTCTGGTCTGTCAATTTATGCATTGCTGTAATACTCTATTAAAATAAGGGTAAATTTCAACCCCCCCCCCCCCCCACAAAAAAAAAAAAAAAAACCCCCCCCAAAAAAAAAAAAAAAAAAAAAAACCCAACCCCAACCCAAAGAAAAAAACCTTACTTTGGCTGTTTCACACAGAACCTTCCCTTCTAAACTTTGTAAATTAGAGAAACCCCCTTGAACTTTCAAAATCATACAATCCTGCTCCAAATATTAATAATTGACACAAATGTTGTTTAACGTGAAGGTTAAAAGGGCAAAGATATCTTTATCACTTTCTACTTATTCTGCCGAAAAATTCTCTGTCCGTTAAAAAAAATACAGTCAAAATTGCCTGAAACATGTGTCATGGGGAATTCATGAAAAAAACTAATAAAGCTGTTCCCCCTGAAACGTGTGTCATGGGGTATACTATGGTGAAACAAGTTTTAAGGGGTTTTCTCTAACTTATAACGTTAGGCAGCTTTGCGCAGAACACTCCAATGTTCAAGGAAGTCTTGTGAAATTTACCCTTAGAACAATGTTGCAAGTCTCAGTTTGTACATCATCTAAATTACTGTTAACTAATGTGCAGGGATGAGGGAGTCACAAAAGCTGCAGTTGCTGTAATTGGGGATCTTGCTGATGCTCTTGGACCAAACACTAAGATTTTATTCAAGGACCGCACGTTCCACATGGAGTTGTTGGGTGAGTGTCTTCAGTCCGATGATGATCAGTTGAAGGAGACGGCAACTTGGACTCAGGGGATGATTGGTCGTGTCTTGGTTTCATGAAGTGAAAGCACCGTCAGCCGGGTTTTGGTTTCATGAGGTGAAACCACTCTTGCAAGAAAAAGAAAATGTAGGTTGTTGTTACGGTGTCGTGTTGTTTTTCTTTTCTTTAAAGCACTCAAAAGATCAGATGTCTTCAATTAGTCAAGCGTAGGTACTTTTGTTAGTCCAACATTCTTTTTCTGTTTTCATGGGTTCTGTTATATTGGTGACATTGGCGTCTTTGGTTCTTGAAAAAGTAATTCAATGTCCTAATTGTCTTTAAGTAGTTCCCTTGTCTCTCTGTTGTTGTGATCAAGTTTTTTTCTATAAAAGAGATCGAGTCATTTTCTCTAAAATCAAGCTTTTCTTTATCTTGTGCAATAAGAAGTGGGGTTATTTGCGTAATATGATGCACAAATGTATTCTTTTTCTCTATAAATCTGCTATATAAATTGCAGCCAATACAATTTTCTTTCAGAATACAACAATTCATTGTGATGCTAACTCAGTAACACATATATCTAGCACACACCATTTAAGAACCCAAACAAAAGGAACCGAAGCTTGCTCTTGAAAACGAAGCACACACCATCAGCAGAGAAAACTAAGAGATCACACAATCACAAAACTCGCAAGAAAACCACATGATGCTCCTTAGTAGTGATCCTCAGGGGGGCAGTATGCTGGATGAAAAGCCAGGGGCCCTGCACTGTAGATCACGGTCTTGTACCCTTCACCAGCCGAAGTCTTGTTCACATCTCTAAGCATAGATCCTTCAATTCCTCCATTGATGTTTGTTAGAAGATTGCACTCGACGTTCGGAGATGAGATCAGTCTCACTCTACAAGCATGAACAAGTTCACCCTCGTAGTACTTCTTCAAGTCCAACCCCTCAAGTGGGCAGTAGAAGTACCCGTTGTTATCGGTCTTAACGGATTTGTAGAACCCGACCCGGTGCTTGTGGTCCCTGCAAGAGATTCCGACCTTGGCGGATGGCAACGGGCGTGCACCCGTTAAGGACCAGGATCCGGCTTGTGAGCAACTTTGGCAGTAGACCATGCCTTCGACTGCCATCAACACCTTCTCTTTTTCTTTGTAGAGGGGGTTTGAGGTATTTGGGTGAGCGAAGGAAGTGGCTAAAATTATGCTAAAGATGAAGAAAGCGAGTGTTGAGGTTGTCATTTTTCGTGACTCCTTATAATTTGGTTGGATCAATGGAATTTGAATGAAGATATCTCTACAGAGGGTTACTCTATATATATATACATGGTTGTAATGCGAAATCTTCGGCAAATATTGATCGTGAGGAGCACCGAAGTTGAATGCGTATAGACTGGTGGCTAATTTTCCTAACGTGAGGAGCAGTGAGAAGGCACAGTTCATAGATCGTGAAGACCTCTTTCTTTTATTAATTAAAAATGCATAATTATAAACAAAGACCACATAAATAATTATACATTTCAATTAAGACGAATGTAATGTTTAGCATGTTATGAGGCAATCAAGTAATTTATTACCTAGGTTTGAATAATGCTACCAATCACAAACAACTATTGATTGATAATTGTTTATGTGGTTATTTTAACACCCATTGCTGCCTGCAATAAAAATTAATCCGTGAAATTAATTTACTTTTATTGTCTTAAAAATGTACTACATTTGTGCTATGAAAGCTTTTTAACACTTTTTTTACTTTTTTTTTGTGAATAATCGTATTTTCTTCAACTTACTTATTCAGTAATTAACAAATGTGAAAAGATGTAAATTGCAACAGAGAAAATACTGTAAACAGTAGAAGTAATTTGATACATAAAGATCACATCCAACTTAAGATTATACTGCTAAAAAATTTGTTTATAACAATCGAGAGCACATTACGATCATAGCTGTTGCATCTAAAAGCAAAGCAAAGGTTCTACCGAATAAACAAACGAAGAAATAGTAGTATACACCACATAACATTAAATTCCAAATATAAGAACAACATAATTAATTAAGATTAAATATTCACAAGGTGCACATAGAAAAGCATAATGTAATTGGAAATTTACGTCCCTTTATTCATTCAGCATTATAGTACACTCTGCATCCATGGCACTCTTCACAAACATCTGCAAACCACAAGCTTCTGCAAACTTAACACAGTACAGCGAAAATAGCACCCACAACTGTACAACTTTTCTTCTTTCATCAGAGAGATGACCTTTGAATCTAACTTTAAAAAAAAACAACAATACAAGCAAAAAAGAAGAAAAAAAAGGAAAAAAAGCAAATGAAAAGGAAAAAAAGGAAAAAAAAAAAGAGGAGTTCTCTGCACACAAGCACACAATTCAGTTCATATCTAGTTAGCCTCTGAAGAAAGAATCTCGATCTCAGCCCACCATAACGGCGACACTTTCGGAGTTGCTCCGTCCGGTGACATTGAGGTGATCACCTTCAGCTTGGCAGCAACTTCTGCCATTGCTGGTCTACAATCAGGGTCTGGATTTATACAGGATCTTATCACATCGAATAATGCCGTGACATCCTCTTCTCTATAAGATCCAATGGCAGGGTCTATCAAATCTTTGACAGATGCATCCCCATTTAAGTAACAAGAAAACCAGGGTTCTTGCAAGTCATTCTCTGAGGAGAATGGAACCCTACCTGATAGTATCTCTAGCATCAATATTCCAAACTTGTACACAATGCTCTCTCTGCTGAGCAAGGAGTCATCTATTGATGGTGATTCAGTTTCTTTGGTTTCATTCCATAATCCAATATCTCCAACCTTAGATGCATAATCATCTGTGAGATAAATAGTTGAAGAGTTGAGTGTTTTTAGAATAACAGGGGGGTTTAGCTGGTGCATGTAATCCAAACAATATGCTATTCCCATGGCTATTCGAAGGCGTGCTGCCCAGTCCAAGTCCTCTGCTTCTTTAACTGCACGAACAAAAGTATTTGCATAAATTAGGACAGGATACGGAAGTGCACGAAAAAGTGCTATTCCGTACATAGACGATATAAAGTGAGGTATTCACCGTGCAAATGCTCAAAAAGACTCCCATTTGGAGCATACTCAAACACCAGCATTCTCGTGAATGGTTCTTGTTCTGCACAGTAGCCTAAAAGGTTGACGAAATTCTTATGGTTCACTTTCGACAACTCTGATATCTGAAATCAAATGCAAGAATTCATCAGGGAATTAAGAGAATTCCACCTACTAAATCATAACATTACTAATGAGAGAAATTGCAGGTACCTTCTTCCTGAACTGAGATTCAGACTGTTTTGACCAATTCTTTGCAGAAGTAACCACAGTAGAGACAACTGCTATTTCAACTCCACTTGATAGAGTTCCCTTGTACAGCATACAGTCTGATAGAGAGCCAATAATATTACTGAAATCTTCACAAGCTGCTTCCAATTCTGACCGTTTAAGAGAGGGCACACCTGCAAGAAAGATATAATCATGTGAATAAAAATGTGGAAAGGAAAGGTTTATTAATAACAGGATAAAAAACTAACCCGTTACAAATGCTTTCTGGAGTTGCCCACTTAAGCCTGTTGCCCAAGGTCTCACGGTGACAACTCTGTTGGCTCGACAGCAGAGAAAGCACACTACACTCAAAGTCACTAGAATAGACACTCCTGCTACTACTGGCACATAGATTTTCCAAGCTGCTGTACTCTTCTCTTCAGTTGCTAGCGATACTGATGGAGGATTCGAATGAGAGGTGGGGGTTGATGCAAATGAGGAGGGTGGCTTAGTATGTAACTTAGGCTCCGCAACAGGAGATGGAGGTTCTATTGCTGGTGAAAGTGAGGGCACGGGAGTTGGAAAATCAATGCTTGGGGATGGTGATGATAAGGGAGAAAATTCCATAGAAGATGGTGAAACTGCTGGTGGATGGAATGGAGATAATGAAGGTGAGAATGATGGGGCGAATTCAGTGTCCAATGTCATCATAGGAGATGGAGATACTGCTGTTGCTGTTGATGCCTGAGGCTTTATATTATTATTTACATTTTTGTGATGCCAAACTCTATCCTCACCACCTACTTGGAGAAGCCTCCGGTTAGTTCTAGAGCCAACATCTCTACAAAAACAAAATTGCAGTTAGACATGAAGCAATAACGAAACTATGTGAAAAATGACTGATTTTTGTTGTCAATACCAAAATAAAGCATGAAAAAGAACCATGCTTCTTACATCTTTTTGCTTTTAAATTCATGTCAGTGACTCTATAACAATGCAACAAATAGACTGAACTCAGAAGCAAACATCTGTTGGATAGTTTACAATGAAATGAAGAGCAGGTACATAAGTTCCGTGAGATAGTCACAAGCAATATTTTGAATGGTGGGAAATTGATCACATATTCTAAACGCAATCTCATATTACTGAGGTAATACTCAGTGTGTGTTTGTCCTTAACAAAAGGGATCTTATGTCTGCTAATTTAATAAATAAATAAGTAAATCAACTTCTTCAGAAAAGATATGTCCCCTTTTAATCCCTCTCCTTGCCCTTAATCTTAAATTAGCAACACCGCAAAATTACAAATATTCCTTCTCTATTACCCTTGTCTATTCTTTTCCAAACTGTCCCTTTCTCCCACTCATCTCATCCAACTCTCCCAGACTATCCACCTGAATCTACTCAAGAGCCCAAATCAAATGAAGGTATCTTACTCTGTTCAACGTCAGTAAAAACAGAAGGCATCTTAATGCATTCCGCAAAGTACAATATTGAAGTGAAGGATCTCCCAGTTTCCATGGAAATAGTACTAAAATCCAACAGGCGAAGAAAATCCAGCAGTCAACTCTGATAACTTTTACTGCATCACATGGTAATGTCTGGACCATTTGGGACCATATATCCAATCTAATAGGACAAATTGATACTTCTCCTTTAATAATTCAATCTAATAGGAAGAACCAAATAAGATCCTTAGCGGTAATTGAAATATGATATAAAGACCCATATAGCCGACTTCATACTAATAGATTATCTACACCAATACATATGTACTCGCAGATTAAAGCAGCCCTAAGAAGTAAGGACTTAATAATGCGAAACTGCAAGTTTCAAATTCCTACAAAAACAAAAGCTACAACAAACTTCATCGACAATATTTTAGTTCATGAAGCAGCAATAAACTTACCTTGCACCACATCTACGTGCTGAGCACAGTAGTTCTTCATGCATCTGTAGCTCAGAAAACACATTTAGATTTTTCAGTTCTTGGGGTATGTTACTTATAAAGCTGTTGCCCCTGAGTACACTACAATAAATTAAGCATGAATCAGAAAACAGGCTTACATCCACACAAATTAAAATCCCAAATAGCTTTATGGTAGTGAAACTCACAGGATTTTCAAGCACAAAATGTTGCCAAGGTCTGGTGGAACTGGCCCACTAAGATTATTGTGTCCAAGGTCCAATACCTCCAACTTACGCAATTCCTCTAACTCCCTAGGGATTACCCCAGAGAAAGAATTGTTCCGTAAAATGCTGTAAGTCATGATAGTTAGACCATATCATCGGTAGAAAACAAGACTAATTAACTCATCTAGTAATGAATAGCACTGCAAAGTTTAAATAAAAAAATTGCTACATCTGAAATACCAAAAAGTGAAAGGTACAAGCTTGCCGGTTAAAAAGCAGAAGTTGCATGGAGACCACAAAGATCGCCAAAAATATATTCAATGGTAATGATTCAGTTCTAAGAAGGCCATAATATACTATAAAATGCAATTATCTACCATGTAGAAAGTGAAGTTATAATTTGAAGGACAAAAACTATAAAATGCGATATGATATATCTTAGTAGCATAATGCCATCTAAAGACAATCCACATAGACGGATAGCAGAAAGGATGATGTGCAAATATACGCTACGATCATGAGGAATCACGATACTGAAATTGTCACCACATAGAAGGTTGGGAAGTTCCTATGAAGTGATTATCAACAAGACCATTATGAAAGAAACCACAAAACTGCGAATCAATAACATAGTGCCATCTAAAGACAATCCGCAGCATGATAGCTATCCTCTACATAGACGATGGCGATGGCATAAAAATAAAAAAGGTTAGTTCGGGGGAAAAAAAACTTCTATATGGAGGACATTATCATCACATACATGAATACTCTATGATCAAGTTGTTGGCTGAGATGTGCTTACAGGGACTTCATATGTATCAGCTTCCCAAGCTCCGGCGTAAGCTTCCCTTTAAGATGAAGACCTCCCAAATTCCTACAAAAATAACACATCATTACTGCGAAAAGAGATGCATATAGGGCAAACCATAAGGATATTTATGGTTTTTAACAAAGTTTCCAACTAAGAAAGCAGTATATATATCAAACAATTACTCACAAGGAAACGACTTTTTCATTGAGGCACTCAACTCCAAACCAAAAGCAGGGATCTTGGGCTTCTCGATCCCAATTCAACAAAGCTCCATATGGATCTAGCTCTACTCTCTCCCTAAACCTTAATAAAGCTCTCCCTGCAATCAAAACAACAAACAAAAAATCAGGAATTTTTTTTCTTCCAAATGAAGTAAAATCGAGCATCAATCTCAAAAGAACCAAACCTTCATCATCGATCGAGGCACACAAATCCAGAAGCATTAACAGAATCAAGGCCTTCAAAAGCTTAAATCTCCTCATCTCTTACTCTCAGATTCAAATGAAGAATTAAAAGAATTAGGGCTTTCGAGGGAGATTTTGTACGCGGAGAGGAAACGAAGAAGAGTTCAAAATAGAGCTCATAAGTGATGATTTTCTTTTGTTTAAATTTTTTTTTTCCGGGTTGATGATCTCTGTTGTTTGTTTTTACTTCTTTGGTTTATCTGTGGGCTTTTATTTATACATGGACCTAAATTTGTTTGTTTAGCAGTGTGGGTCCCGCTGATCACTCTCTGGAAGAGTTGAGGGGTGAGTTTTCGGGGGAAGTTGGAGGGTGATCGTCTCATCACTTTCGACCGGGCGTTTTGAGCTGAAAGCTTTTGAGTACGTGCTTCGCTTGTTCCTTGTTGTAATAGTTCCCATTATACATCATTATGTTTCCATCTATTCCTCTGTAATAAGTGTAGGATAAAAAATTTACTATTTATACTATAGTAAATATTAAGTTTAATTATTGTAGTATTACTATTGTAGCAAATTGCAATAGTCGTTTAAAATCTCATTATTACTGTAGCTCAGGCGGAATACTGCACAATTTTAAAAAAATGTTACTGTATCACTTACAAAAATTGTATTTAAATACAGAATTTGTGAACTCGTTTTTCTACGCGTCTTGTGGGGTCCACCCACGTGAAAGCAAAGCCTACCACAAATCCCTGCACGCGTGAACTTCGTTTCCGTAGACCAGGCTTATAAATAGGTCTCCTTTTTATTCTTAGGGTTTCGGTGCAAAAAGGGGGTGTAGGGATTTGTTTGCGGCTGCAGTGAAAACGAAGGAGGTTTTGGTTTTTGCGGCTGCAAAAGAAAAGCGCGGGCAGCGGCTGTGTTTAGGAGATTTTGAGCAGTCCCTTTTAGGGTTTTGTGCATCCCTTTGAGAGAGATATTTGTGTGAGGGATCTGAGAGTTTGTATGCGGGTTTAGATGGAGTGATTATAAACCCTAGTTGTATTCTCTCCCTCTAATTGTAGTTCTCCCCCCTCCTTGCCCCGTGGACGTAGGTAATTTGCCGAACCACGTAAAATTAGTTGTCTCGCTATTTGTGTGATTTGTAATAGCTTTTAGGATCCCTCGACAGGTCAATCCTAGAACTGATGAGAGGAAGAACCGATATCTCATTTTGTTGAGATATTCGCTTGAGATTCTTGTTTCCTTGGTGAGACGGAAATTCTTATTGCGATCTGACTCTCTTGTTGTGCTGCCGAAGTGCTGCCAAAATTTTCGTTGCACGCAACAAGTGGTATCAGAGCCCATATTTCAGATCTAGGGTTTTGGAGTTTGGTGGAGGAAGATTTTTGTGTGAAGCTTGGTTCTTGGAGTTCTAGGCTTCGGTGGAGATAGCATTAAGAGTTGACGTTGGAGATTTCGTTTTCCTCGTGTGGATAGGAGAACTATTTGGAATCCGATCTAGGGTTCAGTTGGGTGGTTCCTAATTTCTATCAAATTTGTTCTTTCTCTATAATTTGGAGTTAGTTTGCAATGGGAGAAGAAGGTGAAAGCAGCAAGTCGATGGCGAGTACAATACAAGGTGGTTTTCAGAACACTAAGATTAGTGTGGTGAAGTATGACGGCAAAATCAACTTTGGTTTATGGATGAGCGACGTACAGGATGCGCTCAATGCTCAGAATTTGGAAGAGACTATCATGATCCACGAGAGGCCGCCTAAATATGATGAGGCGATATGGGAGAAGATGAATATGAATGCTTGTGGGGTGATCAGGTCATGTTTGGAACAGGAGCTGAAATATGATGTGATTGGGATGACGTCTGCAATGAAGATGTAGAAAATTCTCAACAATAAGTATCTCACAAAGAGTGTTGAGAACAGGTTGCACTTGCTACGAAGACTCTTCAGATTTCAGATGTCCAGAGGCACCTCGCTAGCGGCTCATGTGAACAACTGCACTAAGTTATTGTCGGACTTGGCGAATGTTGATGAGAAGATATCGGATGAGTACAAGGTGATTATTTTGTTGGGCTCCTTACCGGATGAGGAGTATGATACATTCATGCTCACTTTGTTGAACGGAAGATCTTCTATCAGCTATAGTGAAGTGACTAACGCATTGACCAATTACAATTTGAGGAGGAAGGACAAAGAGACTTCCCGTGCTAGCACTTCAGGCGAGGCCTTGTCGACGAGAGGTAGAAGCCTATATCCGAAAGGTGGTAATAGAGAGAGGTCAAAGTCAAGAAGCCGCCACCAATTAGCAAAGAACCAATGTGCATTCTGCAAGGAGCAGAGACATTGGAAGAGAGACTGCCCGAAGTTCAAGGAGAAGGAGAATGATAAGAAAAAGGGTCCGAAGGCCAATGAGGTGAATATTATGAAAGACGATGATTCCGATGATTCATGCTTTTCTCTACTGATTACTCCGGAGGTGAACCATGTGGATGCATCAGATTGGATGCTTGATTCCGGTGCTACTTATCATGTGACCCCTAGGCGAGATTGGTTTGCATTGTTCGAGAGACTCGATGGGGGTATTGTTGTTATGGGAAATGATCAATCCTGTGACGTTTGTGGGATAGATACCGTGCGGATTAGGATGCACGATGGAGTAGTCCGTGAGTTAAAGGAGGTGAGATTTGTTCCTTAACTGAAGAAAAATTTTATCTCAGTTGGAGCTTTGGAGGCGAAGGGATTCAAGGTGACTTTTGAAAACGCTGTAGCGAAGGTTACTACGGGATCATTGGTGGTGATGAAGGGAGTCCGTAATTGGAATTTGTATTATCTGAAGGGAAGCACCGAGATTGGTCAGGTTGCTTCAGCTATTTCAGAAGCGGACATGAGCAGACTTTGGCACTATAGGTTAGGGCACACAGGTGAAAAGTTACTACAGGTATTGTGTAAGCAGGGGCTACTGAAGGGAGCCAAGAGTGGGAAGATTGAGTTCTGTGAGCACTGTGTTCTTGGCAAGAAGACGAAGGTGAAGTTCGGGACTGCCATTCATCAGACGAGGGGCATCCTGGACTACGTGCACACAGACGTTTGGGGTCCCACCAAGACTGCATCACTTGGTGATCGACATTGGTTCGTCACGTTCGTAGATGACTATTCTAGGCGATGTTGAGTGTACACCATGACAAAGAAGAGTAAAGTTCTGGATATATTCGTGGAGTGGAAGAAGAGATTAGAACTACAGACTGGGAGAAAGATCAAGACGTTGCGATCCGACAACGGTGGTGAATATACTTCTGATCCCTTTCAGTAGCTATGTCGAGACGAGGGCATAGAGAGACACTTCACGGTTAGTCATACACCACAACAAAATAGGGTGACAGAGAGGTTGAATCGGTCTTTACTGGAGAAGATCTGATGCTTATTGTCGCAGAGTTGTTTGGAGAAGATCTTTTGGGCTGAGGCACTTACATATGCGAGCCACCTCATTAATAGACTACCTTCATCTGCGATTGAGGGGAAGACCCCAATGAAGAAGTGGTCGGGAGAGCCAGCACACGATTATGACCAGCTCAAGGTATTCGGGTGCCCTGCATTTTATCATGTGAGAACTGATAAGTTGGAACCTCGAGCTAGGAAGGCCATATTTGTAGGATCCAAGCGTTGTGTCAAGGGATACAACCTTTTGGGATCTAGTTGATAAGAAGATTGTGCTGAGTAGGGACGTCACGTTTGATGAGGCTTTTATCTTGAAGCTTCTCAGCTCTCATCAGGTGGAGAGAGACCCGGCGAAGGAGATATCGTAGGTGATGGAGATCGATGCAGCTCCACATTGTCCAGATGGTATAGTATCTATTAGAGTACCGACTGATGTGGCGCCATGCGAGCACGACGATGACACGGGGGATACGAGTACTAATGTGCAGGATCAGGGACCGACGGCTCAGGTTCAGGATTCGATTACGGTTCGGAGACAGAGGAGAAACATACAGATGCCAGCACGGTATGCCGACACAGTTGCATATGCACTTCCGGTGGAGAGTATCGATGAGTTGGTGCCTACTACATTCAGAGAGGCCGAGCAGAGTTCGGAGACTGATTCGTGGTAGGTGGCTATGCAGAAGGAGATAGAATCTCTTCATAAGAACAATACATGGGAGCTTGTTGAGCTTCCAAAGGGGCGGAAGGCAATTGGTTGCAAGTGGGTATACACGAAGAAGGAGGGCATTGAAGGCACTCCGTTGAGATTCAAGACTAGGTTGGTTGCGAAGGGCTATGCACATGAGGAAGGTATTGATTACAATAAGGTTTTCTCTTCGGTGGTGAAGCATTCTTCGATTCGGATTCTGCTAGCTTTGGTGGCACAGTATGGATTAGAGTTAGATCAGTTGGATGTAAAGATGACATTTCTTCATAGTGATCTTGATGAAGAAATATATATCATTGGGATTCCGAGCTGCAGGGAAAGATAAGTTGGTTTGTAGATTGAAGAAATCGCTATATGGTTTGAAACAGTCTCCTCGACAATGGTATAGGCGATTCGATGGTTTTATGATTGGTCATTCGTACACTCGAAGCCAGTTTGATCCTTGCGTATATTTTTCACAAGTTGAAAGGAGGTGCGTACATTTATTTGTTACTTTATGTCGATGATATGTTGGTTGCCTCTACTTCCAGGTCAGCTACAAATGAGTTAAAAGTTCAGCTTTCAAATGAGTTTGATATGAAGGACTTGGGTGAGGCCAAACATATTTTGGGAATGGAGATCGACAGAGACAAGAAGAAAGGTAGAATTTGTTTGACACAAGTGGCTTATTTGAAGAAGGTTCTACAGTGATTCCATGTTAGCATGGATACGAAGCCAGTTAGTGTACCATTGGGAGCCCATTTGAAGCTTTCAGCTGGTCTTTCGCCGAAGTCAGTTGAAGATCGTGAGTTGATGTTGAAGACTCCATATGCGAGCGCAGTTGGGAGCTTAATGTACGTGATTGTATGTACGAGGCCGGATTTGTCACAGACGGTGAGCATGGTTTCGAGATACATTCGTGATCCATGAGTGGGTCATTGGGACGCCGTGAGATGGATTTTGAGGTACATTCGATGTACGCTCAATGTTGGTTTGGTTTATGAGCGGGACACTACATGTGAGCAGTCATACATTGGCTATGTTGATTCGGATTATGCCGGGGATTTGGATAAGCGCCGGTGTACTACGGGGTATGTGTTCACTTTGACCCGTGCACCGGTGTG